GGAATGTCAGAACTGGGAAGGACCTTAGAACACACAATGTCAGAGCTTGAGGGACCTTAGAACATGAAATATTAGAACTTGGAGGAACCTTAGAATGTCAGAGCTGAAAGGAATCTTAGAATACAGAATGTCAGAGCTGGGAAGGATCTTAGAACTTGGAATGTCACAGCCAGAAGGGACCTTGGATCATCTTGTCTAAGTGCCTCGTTTTACAGAGCTGAAATCCTTCATTCTCTGGAGACAACATTTTAATTCCTTAAGAGGAAATCTTGTTTTAGAAAGTGAAGGCAAAGTTAAAAAAAAAAAATCCCAGATCTCAGAGGTAGATGAGATTCTCAGGCACACTCCTTGGATCCTGTTTGCCTGGTCCGGCCCGCATCCCAGAGCCCCCCTTTTCTGCAGCCCAGACCTCCGCAGATGGCCAGCCTCCTCCTTATCTTGCTGACGCCAGCCGTGCCATGCTGGCACTTTGCAGACTCTGACCAGGTGGACCCAGCCTGGCCTCTTGTCCTCTGCATAAGGAAATCCCTGCTGTATTGGAGCCGCTCTGGCTCTCCTCCCTAAGAATCCTTCCCTCCCTCCCTCCCCTCAAGCCTGTGTTTCTCTGGCTTGGTGAGTTTGCTCAGCATTGGCAGGTGGGCAGCATTCATTAAGCACCTACTGTATGCCAAGTGCTGAGCTCAGTGCTGGAGACACAAAGAGAGGCAGAAACACAGGAACAGGCCCTGCCCCCAAGGGGCACAAGTTCTAAGGTGGGAAGCACCCTTTCGGAGGAAAGGCCCCGGGACCAGCAGCTCGGGTATCCCGTTAGGTACAGAGGAGGAAAACCAGGAGAGGGAGCTGTCCCCCACACCCAGAGCGAGTGTCAGAGGCAGAGGATGAGGAGGAGAGGCTGCCTGGGAGGGGGCAACGAGCCGTTTGGAGGAGAGGGGGCTGCAGGGCGGTGGCTAATGGGGTGGTGGGCTCTGAGGGTCCTTCTGGAATGGAGGAGACTTGGATGTGGTTGGAAGATGAGAGAGAAGGGGGCAGCGGTGGAGGGGAGGGGAGGAGAGGAAGCTGGGGCTGGAGGGAGACTTTGGGACAGTGAAGAGGCCCGTCCCCTCCCACCCCCAGGCTTCCAACCCAGGCCAGTTTGAGAGTGACAGTGACGTCCTGTGGCAGCGGGCCCAGCTGCCCGACACGGTCTTCCACCATGGCCGTGTGGGCATCAACACGGACCGGCCCGACGAGGCCCTGGTTGTCCACGGCAACGTGAAGGTGATGGGCTCCCTCATGCACCCTTCGGACATTCGGGCCAAGGAGCACGTGCAGGAGGTGAGACCCCGGGCTGGGTCCATCCGGTGCCTTGGGCACGGCCGTTCCAGGCCTGGCCGGTGGGGGTCTCAGACAGGCGCGTGCTCCCCGCTCCAGGTGGACACCACCGAGCAGCTGAAGAGGATTTCCCGGATGCGACTGGTCCACTACAGCTACAAGCCAGAGTTTGCGGCCAGCGTGGGCATCGAGGCCTCCCCTGAGACTGGTATGGGGCGGGCGATGGGGCTGGGGCTGGGGGCAAGAAACGTTCCTGGCGTGACCATGGGCATGGCTAAAAGCCTCAGTTTAACCATGTCAATGAGAGGGTTGGGCTAGACCGGCACCAAGGGCCTTTCCAGCTTAAGCCCCGGAGTCTCTGTGACCTCGGGCAGATCACCTGTCTGGGCCTCAGTTTCCTTTTCTGTGAAATGGCCTCGGAGCACCCTTCCAGCTCAGGATCTCTGCTCCTGCCCTCGGGCCCGCCGTCCCGTTTCCTGTAGGTCTCCCTGCTGCACCAGAAATCCTCATTACCAATATTATACCATGAGATGGGGGTAAAGCGCTCAGCATGGCGCCTGGCACGCGGCTCCCTCCCCCTCCTCTCCCCCATTCCCAGCCCACACCCCTCGGGATTCTCCCTTGTGCAGGGGTCATTGCCCAGGAGGTGAAGGAAATCCTTCCAGAGGCCGTAAAGGACACTGGAGATGTGGTCTTTGCCAACGGGAAAACCATCGAGAACTTCCTGGTGGTGAACAAGGTCAGTGGGTGCCTGGGCTGGGGGAGGAGGAGGGAGTCAGCTGTCACCTGGGTACGCCTAGGTAGCAGCTGCCTCGGCTGGCCAGCTCTCCCCAGGCGTGCCCAGCGGGGTCCTCTGGGGTTGGTGGATCAAGAAGTGTGCCCTGAGGACTCGGGGAAAGGAATTAGAGACCTTTAAGGGGCCCAGAGCACAGAAAAGTCAGAGCTAGAAGGGCCTTAGAACATGGAATGTCAGAGCTGGAGGGGAACCTAGATTGTAAAATGTGAGAGCTTGTTAGTGGGTGCTTAGAATATGGAGTGTCAGAGCTGGGAGGGAACTTAGAATGTGGAATGTGAGAGCTCGTTAGTGAATACTTAGAACATGGAGTGTCAGAGCTGAGAGGGGCCTTAGAATGTGGAATGTCAGAGCTGGAAGGGAACTTAGAAAGTGAAATGTAAAAGCTTGTTGGTGGGTGCTTAGAATGTGGAAAGTCAGAGCTGGGAGGAACCTTAGAAC